TTTTCTAAAACCTGTTGCTCTATAAGCCTGAGATAATACAAGGGTAAAAAACCAACAAAGATTGGCACAAAATCATGTTGGTGCTGTTAGGTGCCATCTAGTCAGTTCTGACTTCAGGGTCCCTGTGAGCCCTATGGCCGGCACCACCCTCACAATTGCTGTGTGTGTGTCCACTGTAGCAGTCACCATGACAACCGCTGCCTCTTTTTCACTGACTCTCTACTGAGCGGGATGTCCTTTTTGAAGTGCTGGTTTCCGCTGATAAAGTGTCCAAAGCACACAACATGCAGCCTCACCAGCCTCACTTCTAAGGAGCATCCTGGCTCGGAGCATCCTCCTGGCTCGGAGCATCCTCCTGGCTTGGAGCATCCTGGCTTGGAGCATCCTGGCTCGGAGCATCCTCCTGACTTGGAGAATCCTCCTGGAGCATCTCCTGGCTTGGAGGATCCTCCAAGGCGGATTGTCTGTTCATTGAGTAGCCCAGGCGACTTCAACAGTCTTCACGCACACCATAATGCCACTGCATCAGTTCTCCTCCGGGCTTCCTTATTCATTGTCCACAGAAACAAATCCTTGAAACGAAAATGTCCACCTGGGAAGGTCTTGTTGTGAAGGCCGTGGCATCCCTTCATCTCGGTCTCTGCCCTTCCAAAGGCAGTGGACGCTGCCAGCATTCTAACCCCCCCCCCTCCAAAAGAATTTCGGTTCCTCATTTGACAACACATCACAATGGCAACTTTGGTATCCTGGAAGAATTCACATTGGGTTCCTTTTAAATGTCCTTTGAGTTTTGAGAACATAAAGGAGCCCGTGCTGTATGGTGGATGGGGTATGATTTCCCAGTGACATTCCCATAGGACAGCACTTGCTACCTTTTCTACTTCCCAAAAAAGGAGCAGGCATCTTGTGGTGAGGGGAAAAAGTGTCACTGAGCACCACTTCCCTGGCCTTTTTCTCACCAATGCAATTAAAAATAAAAAATCACCCCAATGAACTCGTGGGTCCTTCAAGAAAATCTATCAAGATTTCTCGGCTGACTGACATAAAGTCCATGTTGTGGTGGTGGTTTTTGGTGGTGGGGAGGGAGCTTTAACAAACACATTTATTTTGTCACAAGTTAGGAGGCGAAAGCTAAAGGTGCTGGTGCTAGAGTAAAGTGACCAGATTTTAACATTGGTAAAACGGGGCACCATCGATAAAACTCATATCCTGGCAAAATAGCCACATGGCAGCCGAAAACCGTATACCCTAGCTTGTCGTGCATTCTTTCCAAAAATCGGGACTTTTTAAAAACGCTGCGGAACATGGGAAAAATTGTTAAAAATCAGGACTGTCCCACCAAAAGCGGGACATCTTATGCTAGAGGAAGACTATCCACTAGAGAGATAAGTCCTTTTCTCTCTGTAGCTTCTGTTCCCGGGCAACCCCAAGGGGCTTGCCATCTCCCTCCTCCCCACCTCCATTTCCTGCTGGTTGAACATCTTTTATATATCACAGGAGATTTATTCAAGACCTGTGCTACATTCATCTTGCCTCACTAACATAACCAAGGGCCCATCCCCCAAATGAGATTACATCCCCATGCTTTGTTTGGAACAAACTCGAACATGCATGAATTTATTAGCAATACTTCCTTTCCTATGTGTGTCTCTTCATTGGTACCACAACATATGGCAATTAGAAAGGAAAGGAAGGGGGTTCTTGCTTTTTTTTCTTGACATGATATTATTTATGAAGTAGCTGGAGAATATGCCAGTGATTTTGGAAAAATAAGCTATTGTACACAGGGAGCAAATACAACTTCCCTTGCTGGTATAGAAACACCCTTTGAGGCACTCATTGAGAACTTCAGACAGTATTTGAACTGTACCACACATGACCGTATACGCAAGCCCTAACTTGGAAGAAGTCTTCATATGATAAAAAATAAAAAATAGAGAATCGTGGGTTAATATTTATTCCATTCACTTGTGTTTTAGTGACTGTGCAAAAGCATCCCATTGTGTGGACCCTAACATTGAGAAGACTAGGAATTCCCAACGCTTCATTGTACTCCGGCAGAGCCTGTACAGGGACTAACAGAACAGGGTGCGTGGTTTAAAACCAGGAAAGGTGTGCACCAGAGTTGTACCCTTTCTCCATAATGATGCAGTCTGTCTGCTGAGCAAATAGTCTGAGAAACTGGACAAGAAGAAGAATTCTACATCAGGATGGGAATCAAGTTTATTAACCATCTGTGATGTGCAGGTGATACAATCTTGCTGATAAAGATCAAAGACTGCAGCCTTAAATACGTATTACAATTAAATGTCAAGAAAACGGAAATCCTCACAGCTGGACCGATAGATAGCATCATGACCAACGGAGGAAAGACTGAAGTGAGTACGGGTTCCATTTTGCTTGTATCCACACCCAGTGCTCATGGACGCAGCAGTCAAGAAATCAAATTAAATATTACATTAGGTAGGTCTACTGCACAACGCCTTCTGTAAAATGTGGAAGAGCCAGGACGTCGCTTTGAAGACTAAGTTGTACCGGACCCAAGCCATTGTATTCCCCGGCCCCTACACGTGTGAAAGTGGGCGAGTGGCGAAGGAGGACTGGAGAACTGGTGCATTTGAAGTACAGTCTTGTGAAGAGTCCTGAACACAGTGGGCGGCCCAAGAGCCAAGCCATCTGTCCTGGCAGAGCCACAAACAGAATGCTCGTGGAGGCAAGGGTGGCGGCACTTCGTCTCACTGACTTTGGACGTGTTAGTTGTTAGCAGAGACAAGCCCCTGCAAAAGCACATCTGGTTGGCAAAGCGGAAAGGCGGTGTGAGGAAGACCCCCGGTGAGGTCGATTAACACAGCCCTAACATAACAATGAGGGTGAGGATGGTGAAGGCCCCCAGGGTATCATTCTTTGTGCAGGGTTGCTATGAGCCGAACCCCCTTCACAACCCCTAAGACCAATAACAACATCCCATTCATGCGACAAATGCCTGCGCCCCTTTTCTCATGGCCTGAACAACACTGTCCAACGTGTTAGAACACCTCGAATGGTCATCCAGTCTTTCTTTCAGCAAATGGTTGCTGCCAGGCTCTGAGATCAGCAGTAAGAATATACTACGGAGCAGAGAGGGAGATGGACTGTCTCATCGGGGAGGGTAAGGTGTCGAGCAGGAGACAGACATCAATTAGACACTCATGTCGGTAAGTTTAACACTGCAGTTGGATCACTGGTAACGTGGGAGAGAGCAAGGTACCTGGTGACACTTGAACAGGAGCCTGAACCAGGAAGGTCAGGAAAGGCTTCTCTGAGAAAGTGTGGCGTGAGCTGGCATGTGACGGATGGGAAGGAGGTTAACGAGGTACAAAAAGAAGAGGCAAGAGTCTTTCGGCAATGCTGCCTGATGACCACGAGGGACTGAGACATCTGCGTGGTTGGAGGACAGAGAAGATTTGAGGGAGCAAGACAAGGCTGGTGAGGCTGACGGGGGCCAGCCAAGTGAAGGGCAGGGCTTTTTTCCTGGCAGCTGAAAGGTGCTAACCCCCCGGGGGGAGAAGACCCCTCTCCCTGCTGTGTGCAATTCTCCCTAGATTGAATTTAAGTGAGTCAGAACTCCAGTTGTGCCCCCAGTTCCATCCTCGCTCTTGCCTCGAGCGAGGACCACAGATTTAATCTTTTCTTCTCACAACAGATGTCTCTGACACCTAGCTCCTTCACCAGGGGTGGGGGTGCCGCCGCCCCCCTTGCCCCCACTGAGATAGGTTTCCAAGTGCCCTTCTTGTTGTCCTTTCCCTTCTCAATGTGCAAGGCTGAGAGGGAAGAAACGCAATGGAGGGCAAGGGGACGCAAATGGAGAAGGGTTAGTGCACGAGCTGGAAACGGCCCCAAGCAATCGGACTGGAATGGAGAGCCGTGAGCCCCACCACAGGGAGCACAGACCTTTGAAAGTAGACGTAAAATGCTGGACGGCCAGAGGAGAGGGAGGGAGGGAGGGCAGGGGCTGACTTCACCATACAGACCAAAGGCTGGTCACCCACCAGGAGGACAGGAGCAACTGGACATACTGAGTCCTGAGAAGTTTAGTGGATTTTCTAAAGTACCCAAACAAAAAAGGAAAAGCATTATTTATCCAGAATAGTATCTATCAGAGCAGTGGTTCTCAACCTGTGGGTCATGACCCCTTTGGCGGTCGAACGACTCTTTCACAGGGGTCCCCTGATTCATCACAGAAGCAAAATGACAGTGATGAAGTAGCAATGAAAATAACGTTATCGTTGGGGGTCACCACCACACGAGGACCTGTCTGAAAGGGTCGCGCTTGGCATTAGGAAGGCTGAGAACTACCGTATGAGAGCCACACAGGTGCACACAAGGAGTCGCACAAAGGTCCCATCGACAGAATAAGAGCAAGCTGTCGAATGAGGACAAAGACGGAAGGCTGCTTACTTCTGGACACATGTGGGCAGTGAGAGCGCAGAGAGGGAAGGAATCCACCCCCGGGGCGGCCATGGCTGTCTGGGAGGAGAAGGGAAGGCGTACGTACCTGGGACTGGGCTGGGTGTTGGCGCCATTTTATTTTTTCAGCTGGGTTGGGGGCACATGATGATCATGATGCTAATTTTATTTCTGAAATATTTTCCCATCATCTTTTTTAAAAGACAGTCTGAGTTGCTAGTGAATAAGAAAAGGAACGGAAACCCTCCTTTCTAGAGACTGGTTTTCTCTTTAAGAGCGGGCGTGAGACAGGCTCAATCCCCGTGTGGCAGCAAACCGTCTTGTGATGAGACCCAGCACAGTCTTGATGTGCAGCACTGGGGGCCAAGCTGACAGTCATGTGGGATGTGCGGTTCCACAAAATGACCCTGAACTCCCATTTGCAGCTTGGCACAGACCCAGTAAATGCTGAATTTCCAGAGCCAGCTCCTGTGAGCAGCCAGCAGTGGGTTTCAAAAGCCCCCATTGTATTCCCTGCCGTAGGGGGAGGGGGTCTGCACCTGTCTGACTCTTACCTGCTGCTCCAGGGTGCTTGGATCAATAAAAGTCACCAGGTCGATAGAGAAGTAGCCAACCACGTCTCTCTTTCTGCAGGCCTTCCCGATCCGGAGGCACAGAGAATGCAGGGCCTGGGGGTCGACCGAGGTCTGCGGCAAGGTGGTGCCCGAGGAGATCAAGGGGCCGTCCGCGTGCAGCTGGTCCCCCGTTGACAGCATCCGGATGTGGCCGTTGGGTTCGATCAGCATGTCCACCGTCAGGTTGGTGATGCTGTCTGCAGGCGGGAATGCTTCCATCACACCGCCTGGCAGGAAGAACACGGAGCGGCAGGTGAAAGGTAAGGTTCTGCGGACTTGGCCCATTTAGAGCAGGAGGCAAGAACTCATCCGGGCCTTGGCAGTTGGATTGGGCTCAGACTCTGGAATCTCTCATGCTTTAAGAGGCAATGGCCAAGAAATTCCCTGAACTCCTTTTTTTCTCTTTTTCCCTGAACTTGCTTTTCTTCAACTTTAAACTGGGCATAAAAAAATAATAATAATAAAATCGATCTCACTGGATTATGGTGACGCTCAGTGCTTGGTATGTTAGCAAGTATCAACAGATAATAGCATTGCATCTATTAGGAAGACAACATAAGGAGTATCAAGTTTACGACCATTCATTACATAAATGATGAACTTGAGGATTATGTGTAAATCCCTCCTGGGGCAATTAACTGCCCAAGCCCTTTCTGCTCAGCCTCACTACGTTTCAAGGTGGGACAGGCTTGAGTTTTTATCGAACACAAGAAAACACTCATCTGCTGGCAGGCAGAGGACTCCTATAGAGAATGATTATGAAACTTTTTAAAAGAGAAAAAAACAGAGCTGGGAGAACAACTGTGCTTCCTCCTCATTGATAAGGAGATCTTCATAATTCAGTTCATGCTTTGTCCCCAAGCTTGCGGTCAACAGGCCCGCACCTAATCCACGGGGCCACCAGAACCCCTACTCTTTGCTTGGAAAACCCCAAGTGTCCAGGGCAATCATGACCCCAGCTCGGGTATAGGCTCTTTATACAAAAGGTTTAAAAACCCACTTTTTTTGTGAAGAGAGGGTTGATTTAGATGTAACAGCAACTAAGTGTTCCCTAGGCAAGGTAGACCCTGGGCCTTGACTGTATTAAGATAAACTTGACCCATATCCCACAAATTTGCTGGTTGGGTGGGGGTGACCTTTGCCCACTGATGTTAAATCGCAGGCTTGAAAGGGCAAGTGTGGTTAGATCTTCGGCGTTAGCAATTCTGCCACGACGTTGTCTGTTACTTTATATGAAAGATACTTAAATGTCTTAGCAATCCGGTGGGAGCTGGATTTTGGAAGGAAAAATAGATGAATTTGGGAGAGTGCACTTCCAATTCCGAATGTCTCTATTTGGTTGGCTCCAGATGTGCTTTTATTTTTCCTTTGCTTCCTCCAAGTGAGATCCACTTGTGTGTATTATATTTAAATACTAGTTATTGGGGATTTAGCAAGGGAACTACAACACAAAAAGAATCTGATTCTGTTAGTTTTATAGGTTTAGCTGTTACCTATGGTTTGAAACAGGATCCCTGGTAGCCTAGTGCATATGTGTTGGGCGGCTAATTGCAGTGTCAGGAGTTCGAAACCACCTGGTGCTCCCAGGGAGAAAGATGAAGCTTTCTACTCTTGTAAAGAGCTTCCATCTCAGAAACCCACAGGAGCAGTTCGGTTCTGCCCTCTGTCGCTGGCTTGGTTTTTGTATACTCAGGAAAGGAGTTGGTGGCGCAGTGGTAAAGTGCTCGGCTTTTAACGGAAAAGCCAGCCGCTTGAACCCACCAATCGAAGCTCCATGGGAGACAAGACCTGGCTCTCTGCTCTTGTAAAGAAAACCCTGCAGGCTGTTCTGTTCTGGAATACCCCCACCCCACTGCCATCAAGTTCACCCCAACTCTGTAGTTTCTGAGGCTGTCAATGTTTATGAGACACAAGACTGGGGTGCCTGATGGGTTTGAACTCCTGACTTTGCAGTTAGCCTCCCAACACTTACCTGACAGCACCACCAGGCTCCACTGTCGTATCTTCAGCCCATGGTCACTGAGTTGATTCGAACTCGTGCAGACCCTCGAGAGCAGTGCTTCTCCACCTTCCTCATGCCGAGACCCTTTCATAGAGCTCCTCGTGTGGTGGCCAACCCCCCCGCCCCCCACCAGAAAATTATTTTCGTTGCTACTTCATCACTGTCCTTTTGCTACTGTGATGAATCAGGCGACCCCTGTGAAAGGGCCGTTCGACCCCCAGGTTGAGAACCGCTGTGAGGGCTTCCGGGGGAATACATCTTCTACAGAAGCTGACAGCTGGTGTGTTTGAAGGGCTGACCTTGCCGTCAGTAACCCAACACAGAATGAACTATGCCACCAGGGCTCTGGAAGACAGGGCCACAGTGAGTGGCATTGACTGGCTGGCACACCCAACAAAACCCACATGCTCTGACGGACAGCGCCCCACATTAGCCTTTACCATTCCCAAGGTGCCTTCAGAGACGTTATTTCATTTAAAGACGTTTCGATTGTGAGGATCATGACCAGAGTCTTTTGACTGCTGATTTTTTCCTTAAAAAAAAAAAAGAATCCCTCCTTTGGAAAAATATATTGCCTTTGATATAATCCTACGACAATATGAGGAGGCTCCAAAACGTTCATGGGAAGATGGGATTACCGTAAAAGGTGATGGAGTTTTCTCACGAACTTCGTCCATCAATCTGCAAGCACCTTTTAGGGCCCAAAGTGCCCTTGGGAGTTGCAGAAATGGAATCACAAACAGGCCCTAGTGGAAGCCGTGGAGTACGGTGGTCTGGAAGCCTGGCGTATGTCTCCACACATTCACTAAACACTTATGAAGACCTGCTGTACGTGCAGGGCTTAGGGCCACACAGAAAGTTTGCAAACACTGATTTGAAGAGTTGTATTTTTGAGACACACTGGGATTGTCGGCTCTAACTTTGGGTTCCCATTCACCACCTACTTGTTGTGTGACTTGGCCCCCTCTGAGCCTAATGTCTTCATCTGTCAAATGGAGTCCATAAGGCTTGCTTAAACAGGGCCGGCACCCATGACCTAGGACGAGCAGCGGGCAACGCTGAGGCCTTGGCTGGTGGCAGTGGAGCTCAGGTGAGACAGTGGCTGGGGATGCACTTTCTGAGCTATAAAGCTCACATCAAAATAGGGATTTTAGAGGAAGGCTTTGCAGGCTGATCCTGGGAGATCTAGAAACTTCCTAACACCCGGTCCTGCAGGATCTTTATAATCTCCTCCTAGCTGAAGAAAAAAAAATCTGTCCCCTCCTCCGTTTGACTGATTTTTACTCTAAGTGTCTTCACCGCACAGTCCGTGGTTCCACCTCACCAGCTGCTCCACAGGAGGGAGGTCAGGCTGTGCGATGCAGGAGAGACGCCGGCCCGGGAGGCACAGGGGCGGCTCCACTCTGGCGTCGGGTCATTGGGGTTGAGTTTGTTTGGTTGTTGTGTATTTTCCGTTTATTCGTGGGGTTGACTCTTCCTTTCAGGGTTGGTTTGTTGTTTGGGTCACTGTCACTTAATTTGCAAGCTGAGCTCACGAGGTCACAAAGTACAACACTCTTCTCAGCCAAGAATTCCTTTTCAACTTTCTTGTGAGACAGCTGGCTCTCCAACCCCTTGTTGAAAGAGCCCATGAGCAAGCCGTTTGGTCTAAATCTCCTCACCCCACTGCCCAGTCCTGCCCCTCCTCGCCAGCACTGCCCAGCGGCTACTCCAGCTGTCCTGTCCCAGGCCCTGGGCTGAACTAGAGACTGGAGGAGAATGTAACACAGCTAAATCCTCTATGCTCATAGTTACAAGTCTGCAAAGCGGACTGTGGTGGGGAAGACCCTCACAGTTATGAGATATAAATAAATCTTAATACACATTCTCATGACTGGACATGGCTCCTCCAATAACCCCCCATAAAGGAGCAGTCACAAACGAGACACCTTAAAAGAGGAATCATTCCTGTGTCTGGCTATTCACTATCTCTGGGGTTGTCGCTAGATAAGTGCAACCAGGTTCTATAGGGGAACCCACTAGAAAATGTAGCAACCCCCTGGAGAGGGCTCAGGGGTCTGTTCAAGGTCAACTAGCACTAGGTCAGGAGGACGACTCACCTCATTGCTGGTTTATTATGTTACCTGCTTATGATATTACCCATGGACTATGCAATATGTTATCTGTACGATGTGCGTGCCTTCTGAAGGAGCTGTCAGCCCCACTATGTATACCCATTGGACGACACGTTCACTCTCTCAGTCCTGACACAGGACGAGGCGTCTCAGTGCCTCGCTGTCTGACTTATTTTCCACAATGCAAAGTCGCTCCAGAGGACCCGTTCGAGGGCTGGGGAGCCCCGTACCCTGACAAGGCCCTGCTCATTATACCCTCTGGCCCTGCCAGGACTCCCGAGGCCCTGCCACTATTCACAGAGTGATTGGGGTGAGGTACTGCTCCTCTGACTCCAGCTTCCTCCTCTGCAGGAGGACGGTGATGGCACCCGCCTCAGAAGATTGTTGGAGGGGTCGCTCGCTCATGGGAGGTGTGCTTAGGAGAGAGTTTGGCAAATAATAAGCACTGTCTGATAGCCGTCTCCCTGTGGCGCTGCCGCCGTGACTGCCGTCACCCGACAGGCCCTCACCCCAGACTCTTATTGTTATCAAATCTAATCCCAGAGGTGGTAATTGCATCTCCCTCTCATCTTTAAAAAAGCCAACTATATCCTCGTTCCTAAATTTGCCCACGTAGAATTGGACTCCTTTACCCTTCTCTTTACCTTCCTCTAAGAACCCTGGGTACTTAAGCGGTTATGCACTGGGCTACTAACCCCAACATGGGCAGTTCGAAACCACCGGCTGCCTCATGGGAGAGAGAGACAGGCTCTCTACTCCTGTAAAGCGTTAGCATTCTGGGAAACTCACAGGGGCAGTTCTACCCTAGGGTCACTATGGTTGGCATCAACGCAATGGCAGAGTTTGGGTTCTGAGTTTCACCTTCCTCTAAGGACCCCTAGGTAGGAGCCCTGATGTGCAGTGGTTACGAATTGGACTGTGATCTGAATGGTCGGCAGTTCAAAACCACCAGCAGCTCCTCATTAGAAAGACTGGACTTTCTACTCCTGTAAACAGTTCCAGACTGGAAACCCACGGGAGGTCTCCATGAGCCAGCATTGACTTGATGGCAGAGAGTGAGTCGGACCCCTACTAGTTCTATCGGGTAAATGTTGGCCTGCTAACAGAAAGGTTGGCAGTTCAAAACCACCATTCTCTCTGTGGTAGAATGGGAGGCTGGCTGCTTCTGGATGAAGCTTACAGCCTCGGCAGCTCCATACAGGGTTGGAATCAACTCAGTGGCAGTGGTTTGATTTTGTTTACCTTCCTGTGACCTTACTTGAAGGGAACCTTGCTGGCTGTGGGAGTTACAGAATCTGGTGTCAATTTGGGACCTTGAGAGGATTAAGAGTGAAGGGGTGGAGTCTAGTCTGTCAATCGGGTCAGAGCCAATGAGGCCTCTGTGTGGGTATGGCCTTTCCCTGAGGATTCTGGGAACTCCTGCATTTCCTCTTTGGAGATAGGAGTCTCTCTCTCTCTCAGCTCACTCCCTTGAAAACTCTTCACTGACAAGACTCAATACTCACTCCCTGAGAGATGCTCTACTGACAAGACACATGGCACTATGCTGATAGACCCTGCTCTGGGAACTGGAAGAGCCACATGGAGACCCCCACTAGTGCTGAGATGCTTACAACACCACTGGAACCACAAGACTTCCCACCCACTGACCTGTGATCCTCCTATATTCAGTGTCATTGCATGCGTTTCATGAATCTGAAGAGGATTTTATTGATTGCTATCAGACATATAGGCTAATATTGGACAATGGACTTGATCATGACTAGGCTGGGGCATTTTCTCAATATTCAATTGCGCTTGTACATAAACCTCTTTCTTCTTCACACGAGTCTCCATGAATTTGTCTCTCTTGTCTACCCGGACTGACACAGGAGCGTCGTGGTTAGTGCTGGACGGCTCACAGAGAGATTGACAGGTGGCGCCCTCCAGCCACGTCACACAAGAAGGCAGAGACGGTCTGCTCTGTCCTGACTTACAGCCTTGGATGTCCTCTGGGGCCGAGTCTACTCCCTCCCAGAGCGTGGCTTGGAGTCAGAATGGATTTGACAGCAGTGGGTTTGGGCTGGGCACCCTTGAGTGAGTCAGCAGACTCGTGCACTGTGGTGTTCTGACCAGCAGGGACTAGTGTGGACAGATAACTCCTGGGATCTCTCCTACTCCCTTCTTCTTATGGTTTATGTGGGTCAGCAGGTCAGACTGTCCGCTTTCGGCTGTAGCCTTCTGGTGAGAGACGGGGCACTGTGTCCGTGTGCCCGCGCAGCACACTCCCAGCAACCTCGTCCAGGGGAGATAAGCCTCATCCACATCCTCTAGTCCCTCATTCCCCGACCTCCTGGGGTCAGATGATCACGTTGAGGGGAATGGAGGCGGCGGTTACTGTCTGGCCTGCAGATGGCCCTCATGGAGAAGGTCTGCCTGCCGACCACAGGGCCAGGCCAAAAGGCCAACACGGACTATACAGCACAGAAGGCAAGAGGGCAGGGAGAGGAGAGCACAGGAAATGAAGCAATCGGCCCCAGTTCAAGAGAATGTGGGCTCTTGGTGAAAATCGTCACGGACGCCAATGAACAGTTGGTGCAGGAAACGTCAGATGGGAACCTGAGTTGCTGTGGGAGCTTCCACTTAAAACAGGAAAAAGGATGTGGGCTGGGCTTGCACTCCACGACGACGACCTTGAAGGTTGATGGTTTGAGCCCACCCAGCAGTACCACAGAAGAAAGTCCTGGTGGCCTGCTTCCTTGAGGATGACAACCAGGCTCCTGGTGGAGCAGCCCCGTTTCTGCCCCGCAGGGGCTGCCGGGAGCCGGGGTGTGCTGGCGGAAGTGGGCTACAAGATGGGATGCCAACTGCAAGTTGAACCCGTTAGACTGTCCAGGGCGAAAGGCAAGGCTGTCTGCTCCCGTCGAGGTATAAAGTCTCAGAAGCCCCAAGGGGCAGTTCTACACTGTCCTGTGAGGTTGCTCTGAAACGGAATCTACTGGAGGGCAGCGGGTGGGATCTAAGAGGAGCTAAGAGCATTCTGCTGTTCTGGACCAGGGTGGGGCAATTGACATGCAGTGAAGACTCCGTTTACGTCAGGCTTCATGATGGAAGCACTGTTCATTTCTGTATTTCACCGACTCCTCCTAACAATCCAGGGAGTAGGTGGGCAGGAAATTGAGCTGCTGAGGGTTGAAGAACCTTGTTCAAGGTCATGGGTGAGATCCAGACCAAGGGCATCCGAATCCAAAGCCTACCTCTCAGGAGAAGTCTGCAGGGCAAGAGAAAAGGAAAAAAGAGAGCGAGAGAGAGCGAGGAGAGAAGAAAGAGAAAATGGAAGGAAGAGAGGTGGGAGGCACTTGATGCTCGGCACAGCCACTTCTGATTTGTGTTAGAGGCTGGGTGCAAGAGAGATGTGGAGACAAAGCTGAAAAAGCAAAGAGCCTGCCCTTGGGAGCACTCCTTCTAAACCAGTCCCGGGAAGGCAAGGTATTGCCACCGGCCCTACGTTGACCCAGAACTTGACTTCAGGGTGACATGAGAGCCAACATCCTCAACAGAAACTTGACAGTCTTTCTTACCTTGACGGAGAAACGTTTGGAGGAATGCCCCCCACGTCGGGAACCGGTTCCCATTGACTGGCTGAGCGTGCTGTGCTAACATGCCCGCCAGCTCCTCGGAGATCCTCGCCAACGCTGGCTCCTGCAGAAACAAATTAAATAGAACCACAAGCAATTTTACTCCAGAAATGAAAACTGCTTGTGGAGTGATTAAAAACCAGGCCTCCAACAGGCAAAAAAAATGTGGTTACTGTTTACCCAGAGTCAGAAAGCCATTTTGAAACATTCCTCTATTTGCCCAGCCATTTCTGTTTTCCTATTTCCAAGTGATTTGGCCCCTGAAACCATGGCTGCTCATGGCCACTGTTGTCTCTGAAAGGCACCGACTGCCTGGGAGTCAGAAGAGCCTGGTTTTAGGCCCACAGTAGCCTGTCACCAGCTGAGTACCCTTAGGATGTGTGGCGCCCCTACTGCGGGACTCAGTTTCCCTGTGTGTAAAATCTAGGGTTAACCACCGTGAGCCTTGCCCCTTTCAGAGCTGAACATTTTCTTAACCTATGGCTCTAACAAGACTGACTCTGGGAGAAACCAGGGAGTTGGCCAAGGTGCGAGGGGGCTTCAAGAAACATGGGGAAAAAGAGGGTGAAAAAATAATGGGATTTTTCCATGAGCTTTTCGAAGTCCTCTCATCTTTGTGTGCTCTCTTCCACTCGGTGGTGAGCCTGGCATTCTCGACGCTCTCCATGATGGGCTGCAGCCGTGAAGAGGGGAGCTCAGACTGGGCAGGTTGGAAGAGCAGGGCCAGCCTCAATCTGCCTGATGGCTCCCCACTAGGCTCAAGTCCCACCGCCTCGATGAGCTGTGTTGGCCAAGAAGTGCAATCACTACGGAGCCCCTTGTCCAAATGCAAACAGTTGGTACCCCTCTGGCTTTTGACATAAAAAGCCTGGGTTTAGCAGGACAATCTTTAAAAAATAAGCTTTTGATTGTGAGTTGGGTGAAGGGTTACAGTGCAGATCGTCAGTTGTACACTCAGCTTTTCCCACATTTTTTTAAACGTCCTAAGTTAAAGGGGCCCACTATGCATCAGCATCAACTCGATGGCAGTGAGTTTGGCTTATTTATTTATTTTAGTTTTACGTTACAATGCTCTTCCCTCTTAGACTGTGAATATATATGTACACACACATACAAATATATATATATGTTTATATTTAAATAGAAGCTACTTTGGATTTTATTTCTGCCAGAAGTGGGGTTGGTTGGGACCGTGGCTGCAAACCGATTTGATGGGCGGTATTTAAATATAAACTATGTAGCACAGGACAGGAAGGATTTAGCCTTGCTTTGGGTGACAGGGCAGCTTCAGAATAATTTGGAGGGCCCTCAAAAGCATGGCGAGGAGTGGGGGGGGGGCATCGAATAGAATCTTTGACTCAGGTCCATTGGTTTCCAGGTTCCTCCATCTTCTATTCCATCCCTCTTCCCCCTTGCGTCCTCACTCCAAGACAGAGAACTGGGAGTTGGCTCTAGGCTGGTCTACGTATCGGAACAATTTTTGAGACAGGCAGACCATCCTGGTGGGAGAGTCTCCTCGCTTCGCTGAGCCAATGCTTGACATACAAAATATCACAAATATCACAAACCCAAACACACCATGAGCAAGAGAGGGAGCACCTTGGCCCATTCTTGTTCCTGACGACCTGCTGCACCCGAGGGAGATGTCTACTAGGAAGGGCCGGGGAAGCTGGCTCTGGCAGGGAGCTTCGGGGCACCATGCTGAAGTGGCCAGGAGAAGGGCCGTCAGAGCAATGGGCCTCACAAAGACCTTCACATCCTGCCCCCTGCACCATGTGTTCTGGTCTTTACTGAGACCAACCGGCTGCCAGCCAAAGCCCTGCAGGAGCAGCTGCACCAACCCAGGCCCCCCCCCCAGTGTTCCTCCTTCCGGTCCTGTCATCCTGACCCCTCTTTCTTTTTGCTTTATACGTGTTTCTGTTCAAGCCACTGAGCTCTTAGGAAGACCACCACTCGTCCCTGCTTCGTGAAGTGGCCCAAAGCTGGGACACTGAAGCATGGTCTTAGTTGGCAGTTTGAAGCCACCCGTAGATAGCACGGAAGAAAAGGCCTGGCAATCTGTTTCTGTTAAGATGCTAGCCACGCCCACCTGCTCTGGGAAGGATCTCGGGAGCATGTCCCGGATGGAGTGGGAGACAAATGTGGAACAGAACTCAACGTCATGGAAGAGACCAGGGTTGCTGGTCACATGGCGATAGGGGAGAACGTGAAGACTGTGAACTTTAGTCACCCTTCAGGTCTGGGACAGCGCGTGCACACACCCCGTTAGAATAACTGTTCAAGATCAAAGGGCGGCAGTGACCCAAGGACCAGGTTCAGAGAGCCAGGAAAGGAGTTGGCATGGAAACAGGAAACAGGGAGGACATGGGGCAAGTGATGGTCGGGACTGAAATGGGTGACTTGAAACACAATGTTGAACGTAAAGATTATGATCTGCTCTGAAACTTTACCCAACTCACAATAAAGACTGAACCCCCCACCCCACCCCCAGAAAACAAAGAAAAAAGACTGCAGCCAATACAGCCAAGAAAGCCCAAGGGAGCACTAGTGGAATCAACTAACGACCAACATCCCCGTGGCTATGAATGTGACTGCTTGGGAAGAGAGAGAGTCTTCCTGTGATGTGTTTTTGTGTGTGAATGAGGCCCACAGAGTCGGGTGGATCCTAACCCCCTTTGCGTGGGAGTGGTACCTTAGAAAATAGGGAACCAAGACAGTGAGAGAGACTCACAGCGGAGCTGCGGCTAGAATTAGCTAAGGATGGCCCTGCCGGCAGCCACCAGAAACTACCCGAGAAGGAACAGCCCGCGGAGATCCCCCTGTGCACTTTAGCCACCTGAGCAGTGAGGAAATCAATTTCTCTTCGTAAAAGGCACCCTCTGTGGGGTATTTTGATATGGTGGCACTGGGTCACTGAAAAGAGCCCTGGTGGCAGAGGGGTTGCTTGCCAACCACAAGGTCAGCAGATTGAAGCCACCAGCTGCCCTTCAGGAGCAAGATGAGGCTTTCTGCCCCTGTAATGATGCGCATTCTTGGAAACCGAAGGTTCGGCTTTGTCTCACGGGGTAGCCGGGCGTCTGATTGGCAGGACGGCAGCGAGTCTGCGTTTGGGAGGCAAGGCAAACACCCGGTGTGTAGTGTCCGGATGCAGTGCCAAGAAAGGATCACGCTTTCGTTCACCCACCCTTCCAGAACCTTTCCCTTGCTGCTGGCCAGGGCGGGGAGGGGCAGGGGAGGCATGGTGTTGATGTGTTTGTTGAATGGGGACCAAGAGGAAGCTTTGAAGGGAAGCGCCTTGTGACCTAAATCTGGAAGGGACACCCCGGTCATTGAGGACTGCGTTCAGACTCCTCGGCACAACGCGGCACAAAGCACAGGGCCCTGGCCTCGGACTTGGACGGCCCCTCAGCTCCCAGCACCGCCCGAACGTCTCTGCTCCGGCTCCTCCCACTGTCTTCCTTTCTGCCCCTCCCCACCCCCTCCTGATTCCTCCGACGCGTTATGAGCTCATGCTGGTCACACCACCCCCAGGAAACCCTCTCTGCTCCCCCATCGGGGCGCCTTGGTGGCCGGGTTGGTGGCTTTGGGGTAGCTGGCACAGGGAGGACTAGCGGTTTATGGAAATTATCATGATGGTGATGAGGCAGGGCCCTGTGTCTCACAGCTAAAGTGACGGGCCTGCTGCCCACGGACCGTGGCAGGGCCACGCGGGGAGGGTAGCGATGGCCGCTGAAGAGCTCTCTGGGCAGAGTTCATGTGACTCCCTACCTCTGCGGGGCACTGAGGAGATGGATGAGGTGGCATTTCTGAAGTGTCCCCTCAGATGCAACAGGCAATGTATGTGAGGACGAAGAATCACCTCCTGGGGCTGCTCCTGGTGACCCTCTGCCAGCTTGTCACTGCCATGGCCCCTGCGCGTTTCCTGTGCACAGAGCCACAGCAAGGGGTGCCCCTCCTGAAGGAAAGCCTGCTGCGGGAATCGGGGGCGCATCGCGTCCCATCATGGGGCGCACATGCTCAAGGTGCAGGTGGGGTGATGTGCGACACCTGATGCTCACGTGTGCAGAGGTCGCTTGGGACCCCTGGAGAGGAACAGTGATGGAATGACGCTGGCCGTTCAGTTCTTCTCTGTAGATTGAGAATCTATCACGGGGCATAAAAGGGTTAGACCAGGAGCGGGCTGAGCACCGTGGAGAGAGAATGGTCCGTCTTGGTTTATGCCATTGAGCTGATTGTAACTCCTGGGCCCGAGCAGAAGTGTCCCATAAGTGGCCTAGGGAGAAGGCCGAGGCTTTCCACTCCCATAGAGTTGCAGTCTCAGAAAGCCTCAGAAGCTATTCTCCCCTGCCCTCTAGGGTCACTATGTATCAGAATCAACTTGATGGCAGCTTGTTGTTCAATTAAAGTCTGTGTGGGAGAAGACTGCTACATCGTTGTCGCATACCAACCAACCAAGCAACCAATCAAATAAACTCACTGCCATCAAGTAGATTCATTCTGCCCTGGGGCTCCTCACTTGTCCCTTGATCCCACCCATCCCAAAGACAACGGGGCTGGCAGTTCACGAGTGTAAGCGAAGCAAAGTGACATTCTTGTGTAAGGGCTCCATTTTCAGGCCCATTTTTGGTGGTCACTCGGTAGTTGCTGATAAACTGGGAGGTTAGGGCAGAGCTGTAGGTGGGAGCTGCTTCTCTTAGAAGCAGCAGGGTCCCAGTGGCTGCCAAGTGTCACCCATGACAGATGCGTGGGCTCAGATCTGGGAGGAGACTATCCTCCAGAGAGGATCCTTTTACGTAGCTCAAAGTTAGCATTGAACCGTTAGCCACAGGTTGGTGATTCAAATCCACCAGCCGCCAAGAGAAAGATGAGGCTATCTGTTCCCACAAAGATGTTTAGCCTCACAAACCCTATATAGCGTTGCTATGAGCTGGAACTGACTCGATGGCCCTGGGTTTTCTTAAGAAGATAATTATAACTTTAAGGCAGAAAAGGGAAAAATCTGTAGCTAGTCAGGTTTTCTGTCCAGTTCAAATGCACCCACACGTACACACACACACACACACA